TTTGCGAAATAACAGCGTGGAACACATTTACTACAGTTCCACCAGGCAATGTTCACCGTAGCCAACTTTCATGGAAATATAAGGTCTAATTAAATCACGTAAGTAGTATGAGTTTCTGTTGGGAATGGGGTTTAATGTTTGAGGTGGGCTTTAAGAGGAGGTTATCCAGACGTCTCACGAACACGCTCACACTGAGTGATTGTATAACAGACGCTGGTCAAGAGTTCCACCGGCGAAAGACTTTTTGAGAGAAGAAGGGTGAACGTTGGTTTGTAGACCTCGGTTTCTTCTTCAACTGGCAATCCCGTTTTCTGAGGTTCCTTCTAGGGGCCATTTGGAGGGTATCCTCCCACTTGACATCCGGATCAGTTCCCCTTTGGTAACTGAAACGTTTCTATAAGGTCACCTCTGTCTTGTCTATAAGGGAGGAGAAAGAGATTTAAGACACTAAAGCGTTGTTCTTACGTCAAATGTTTAAGTTCGGGGACTGCCTTAGTAGCACGTCGTTGGGCACCTTCCATAATTCCTATGCCTTTTTGAAGCCAAGGCCGACAAGCCTGTATCGCAAATTCCAATAATAAACCGGCACGATATTCTTACTAGTAGTCCGGATGCTGGCTGGAACAGTATCAGGTGTTATAAAGCCCGTTATGCATCGCACCTGTACGATGAAAGGGTAAAAAACGCGAGCCGGACTAGTTGGTTAATGCGAGATTTGAAGAGCCAGATAAACCGAAAGAAAGGGTCTAAAGGAGGGCAACAAAAAGTATGAAGTGCCTCAAGTCCTTGTCTTAAGAATGCAGACTTGAGGCATATAACCCTTTGCGTCTTGAGTACAGGCAGATCTAAGGTGATCTCGTACAGACATACAGGATCATAAGGAATCGGGACCTACCGTTTTACGACTTCTTCGCATTCGGCACGCCAACTAACCTGCGTAGGAATTCCTCCAAACTCAGAGGGACCTTATCCCATCTAGATGTCCATTGCCGTTCGTTTTGACAGGGAGTCGTCGGTGCGCGGAACGGACTTCTCGTGGAGGTCATAATAGCGAACTCAACAAACGCATTTAAACAAAATATTGATGTATATTTACGTAACAGATACCGTTTATATGCGTAGGAAGGCACTGTTAGAACACACCAACTCTTCGTTGCCATTTAAAGATGAAAGTAATATCAGATATTTGACTACCTTATGTACGATCTTCAGAATGACTATGCGTAAATTAAATTGTCAAAATAGTACATGTGTATATGCTACTTTCTATTATATAGCGATACATTTAATTGGCGTATTTTAGCTTCAATACTTTTGCATGCCGTTTTCAATAGGGTCTATAAGGGCATTGTCTATTATCCTACATATACTGAACATATTGACGCTTGACACAGGATTCAGAGTCCGAGAATGCCATCAAAGCGGAAGAGAAGTTCCAGTCAGTCAGTACCCTAAGCGGTCGTACCCTTAATTCGCTTAGTATTTTGAGGCAGCTCGACAATTTTCGTGACACCACTCATCGATATGTCTTTTATTTATTCTTATAGTAAGCACAGTTAGATATGTTCCGACTTTTTTTCAGTAAAGCCCAGAGCGATCTGGAATAAGCTACATCGAAGTATTAAAATTCAACTAGGCTATCCTTTTTGGGTGCTGACTCGACAGAGCCCCTCTTCCACCCTAATGGCGTTAGCGTACTCTGAATCATGTGCCAGGCCTAATGCTGATGGCAATGGGGCTGACACTGCTGCCCTTAGTAATTTCACCGTCGGATTTCTTTTGCTTTGGATATTCTAGTTTCA